CTCACCTCAGCCTCCCAAAGGCGTGGGATTACAGGCTGAGCCACTGAGCCCGGCTCATTGGAGGGTTTTAACCATTAGCCAGGCATAGTGGCTCATGCCTGTCATTCCAGCACTTCGGGAGGCCGAAGTGGGAGGATTGCTTGAGCCAAGGAGGTTGAGACCAGCCTAAGCAATATAGCAAGACTTTGTCTCTATAAAGAATCAAAAAAATTAGCCAGGTGTGGTGGCACACACCTGTAGTCCCAGCTACTTGGGAGACTGAGGCAAAAGGAGTACCTAAGCCCAGGAGGTCAAGGCTGTGGTGAGCCATGATTTTTGCCACTGATTCCAGTGTGGGTAACAGAATGAGACCCCAACTCAAAAAAAAATATATATATATATGAAGGAAGAGGAGTCTCAGAGGATTTCCAGGTTTTTGGCCTTAATAACTGGGTGAATTGTGGTATTATTTGCTGAATTGGGAAAAACTAGAAAATACCCTGGGCTTTTGTTAGGGAGGGGGCTGGGAATCCAGTTTGGTCTCAGATGTTTTAAATTTAAGTTACTTGTGAGAAGTGAGATATCAAATAGTTAGTTGGTTATATGAGTCTGGAACTTAGAGGAGGAGTCTGGGCCAGAGTTCAAATTTGGGTGTCGGCTTATTAATGGCATTTAAGGTCATGGGAATGGATGAGCTCATCCAAGGAGAAATGCAGATAGAGAAAAGGGCCAGGACTGAGCCCTGGCTTACCCCAATGTTTGGAGTCTAAGCAAAAGAAGAAAGTTCCCTTTGAGGTGGAAGGAAAACCCACAAGCTTGTGGGGTCACTAAAGCCAAGATAGAAGAATATCAGAAAGAGGGAGTGGAGGCCGGGCTCGGTGGCTCAGCCTGTAATCCCAACACTTTGGGAGCTGAGGCGAGTGGATTGCCTGAGCACGCAGGTTCGAGACCAGCATGGGCAACTTGGTGAGACCTCATCTCTACAATAAATAAAAAATTAGCCAGGCATGATAGCGCACTCCTATAGTTCCGGCTACTTGGAAGTCTGAGGCAGAAGGATCGCCAGAGCCCAGCAGGTCAAGACTGCGGTGGCCGAGAGCATGCCACTGCATTCCAGTCTTGGAGACAGAGTGAGACTCCAACTCAAAAAAAAAGAAAAAAAAAAAGAAAGAGGGAGTGGGTCAATGTGTTGAATGTCCCCTCACATAGGTGAGTGGATGAGTAGAGTGTTCACTGTATTTGGTAACATGAAGTCACTGATGACCTTGACCACATGACCATATACACACATACATACATGTACATGCACACATGTGTGGTCATACTCACCAAGTTCCCCATGCTCACGAATCTCAAAAGTCACCCACAAGTCTGTCCCAGCTGCTGTCCCCCGCATCTCCAGTACCTGGTTAGTCAGTTCCTCAGCAGTCAGAGTTGGAGACACCTGAGGTCAGGGCAAGAGCAGAGAACTCAAGCTGATCAGGCCATTGCTACTGCTTCACGCCCCCACCATTCTCTCATCTCCCCTCTAGTCTCCTCAGAACTGACCTTCAGGGTGATACAGTTGTCTGGGAGCAGCTGCTCTAGATAAACCTCCATGATGAGGTCTCCAGCCTGGGACAGCTGAGAGGAGGGGTAAAGAAGTCAGGAGGACACAAGAGGATGCGGAAAAATCAATCACAGGACTCCTTTATAGCCTCATAAGCACCTCCCCCGGCAGTGGTCTCCTCCTCCCTCACCCCCAATGTTGCACAGGCCCTTTAAAGGGAGAACTTCAGGAGTGGCAGAACCACATTCACAGGGATGCTGCATTCGTGCTTCCCAAGGCAGCACAGCAGAATGGCTGGGAGGACAGGCTTGGAGTCGGACTGTCTGGGTTCCAACTCTGCCACTTACTACAGTGTGACCTTGAATAAGTGACCCTCCTAGTCTGTTTCTTTATTTGAAAAAATAGGACTACCAACTTCACAGAATTGAATGATGCTAAAATGAGATTAGTGGTGTTTGGAATATAGTAAGTCCTCAGCTAATGTTTGTCATTACACAGGGGGTGCCCAAAAAACGTATGCACATTTTTTTTTTTGAGTTGGAGTCTCACTCTGTCACCCAGACTGGAATGCAGTGGCTGCTCCTGGCCACCGCAGTCTCGACCTGATGGGCTCCAGCCATCCTTCCGCCTCAGCCTTCCAAGTAGCTGAAACTACAGGCACGTGCTACCATACCTGGCTAATTTTTTGATTTATTGTAGAGATGAGGTCTCGCCAAGTTGCCCAGGTGGGTCTCGAACCCGCGGGCTCAGGCAATCCACTCACCTCAGCCTCCCAAAGCGCGGGATTACAGGCTGAGCCACCGAGCCTGGCCAATGTATGCACATTTTAAGAGATGTTATCTATGTATTACTTTTCAAAGTTGAATTAAATTACAGTAGCAATGTGTAGTATGATGTTTGCTCAACCATGCTTCTGCCATTTTCTTTGACTGTCCTGCTTTGTCACATGGTGACACAAGCATTCATTTGATTAACGCCAACTTTTGAGCAAATGTCATACTTAAAATGTGTATACAAAATTGTATTTATTCTTCTCACTGCTCTGCCTGACTAACTCTTCCTTGGATCTCTCACACTTAGAAGTGAGGTGCAGCTGCCTTCACTGTGTAATCAAGGATTCTCGTGGATGGTGAGTGATGTCACCAAAATGGCAGAGCAGAAGCACTCTGGCTTCTCCCCCACAGAAAACCAAAACCATCTATCCAGAGCCAAGATTATTACCATGAAGAATCCTCACGGTGGGGTGAATGGAGCAAACCCTAGCCAAACCCCACTCCCAAAGCACTTCTCTCCTTGGGTTTCCCCTGTCTCCACAGAAGGACAGGCCAAAAGGGAAACTTCCTGGACTAGCAGATCAGCTTCCTATCCTGATGACCCCTCCTGCCCCACTCAGGAGTCTAAGGTTAGGACAGGTTACCTGCACATCCTTCCAGGTGGTGATAAGATTGACCTCCAAGTCAATCTGCGCTACCTGGTCAGAATCGATCTGTGGAAGAGCCAAAAGGGAATATGGGAATGCTGGGAAAGGAGAGAAACAGGGCATATCTCAAGGCCAAGGAAGACCTATTTAGGAGGGTTGGAGGTCTAGAGCACTAAGAACCAAGGGGGTGAGGCTGTTGGAAGGGAGGTTATGGAAGAAAGAGGCCCAGGGCTCTAGGAGGTGGTTTCTGATGCACTGGCCCATCAAGAGGCCTGGGCTGAGGCATGTTGGGATGGGCAGGATCCAGAGTCTCTGTGTCCTGCAGGGGGAGGGAGAGGGGCTGTAGGTCAGGGATCAGGAAAGCCTTACATCAAAGACAGAGACGTAGCCATCGATGAGCTCCTGCAGCACCCGCACCTCATGCTCCCCCCGCCCATCCGTCTGGAACACACTGGGTGCAAACAACAAGGCCAGGTTCCGCGTGCACATCTGGTTTAGAGCTGCACACTTCTGCACCCTGCAGAGGGATGCCAGGATCGTGAGGGATGCAGCTTGTGCTCATCCCTTCATCAAAATATCCATTCATTCAGCAAACATCTATTGAGTCCCTACTATATGCCAGGCCCTCAGCTAAGTGCTTGGGATACAGCAATGAGTAAGACAAAGTACTGGCCTCAAGGAGCTCCCAGTCTAGGGGTGACAGATAAGTCATGGGTGACTATAAATACTGCAGGAGTCAGCAAACTTTTCATGTAAAGGGACAGACAGTACATATTTTAGGCTTGCAGACCAAATAGTCTCTGTCATAACTCCTCAACTTTGCTGTTACAGCATGAAAGATGCCATAGAAAATATATAAATGGGGGCACACCTCATCAACAAGGGTACCTGCATAATCAACGTTTGTATACCTAACCCTGAATTATACACCTAACCCTGATTTGCACCCCACATCTTTATAATAAAAAATACATATATATAAATGAATGGGTGTGGCTTTACACTTTATATACAAAACTTTGTTTACAAAAACAGACAATGGGCTGGATTTGGCCCATGGGTCTGTCATAGACCAAGCCCTGTAATATGGTATATAACCAGTGCTGTTCAACCAGGGGTTCACCCCAGAACCACTCAATGGCCGGTCTCCCTCACAGACTAGTAAAGGTGAATCTGCATCTTCTTCAACTTTGTGTTTCTTACATCCAGCCCTTTACCTGACATAGAATAATAAATCAGAATAATACCGATTGTGAAGGCTTACTACATGCCAGGTGCTGCACTAAGAATTTTACAAGGATTATCTCATTTAACATTCTAACAACCTATGAGGTGGATACTATTCATTACATCATCTTCTTTTTAGAAATGAAGAGGCGAGGCCCAGAGAGCACAAACATCTTATCCAAAGTCACACATCTAGAATAATGGAGCCAGTGTAAAGCCTAGGTCTCCTGACCCCCAAATCCATTCTCTGAACCTTTATGCGATGGCCCCGCCACTTAATTACTGTTTGTGGAATGAATGAATGAAAGTGCAGGGTCAGAATGAGGTGAGGAAGGGGCCAGGAGGGAGCTTGCAGGGGGTCTGGCCATACTGACCTATAGAGATGTCCAATGAGGGTGGCCAGTGTGCGGCGGTTGACCCGTGGCAGGCAGCCAATCACTTCTTTGTATTTCTCCAGGCGCTGATTCTTCTGGGGTAGCTCTGAGGATGGAATGGAGGAGGGTTGGAGAGGATCCGGGAAGGGAAAGTGGAGGCTGGAATGGAGGGAGAGATTTTTGGAGAAACAAACCCAAGATGAATTTGTCTCTTCCCCCTTCCCGCCTTCCCTTGAGCGAAGTCTCTGGATGGTCCCCCAGGGTGGGCAATGTTGGGGATCGGGTGCTGCATGGATTCTGGCGGGAGAGTGGAGATCCTGGTTGGGCTTTGGTTCTTAGGGATCTTGGGAGTACCGGCAGCCTCCCTCCAGCGAGGCAGCAAGCGAGCGGAGGTCACAGGGTCATCGAGCTCACGAAAGAAGCGTTTGAGTGTGTCGGTGACATCTTCCACGAAGTGCTCCCCTGGCCGGAGTTTCACTGACCGGGCATCCCGACGGAATTCAGCCAGGAGTCTCAGGCTGCGGGCACGAGCACCCCCTTTCCGGTATACACCCTCCAGCCGGAGCCCTGAGAACAGCCAGCCATTTCTGCTTACTGTGCACAGGCCTTCCACCACCCACCACAGCCCATCTGTGGCCTCCCTACACGCCATGTGGCCATTGGGGCAGAGGGTCAGAGAGGTGGGAATCTGTGCCTCCACGGTCTGGACTCTCAGCTCTCTGCTGGAGTCCTCATCGTGACCAAGTCCCTCCCTTGTCTCATTATCATGTAGTATTCCCCACTGCACCATATGTCATCACCACTTTATTAAATATCTTCATTATCGGTGGATTCCATATTTGTGCATGCTCTGATTTGCTAAAATTTGTAACCCCAAAATCAATGCTTTTGTGGTCACTTATGAACAGAGTGGAGAAAAATTTTAGTTCCCTCCCCAATGCACATGTTCCCAGTTAAGGTCTCATACTGTAAACAAGTGTCCTTTTCACAGTATATTTTCAGCCACATTTTGGGGTTTGTGTGTGTGTGTGTGTGTGTGTGTGTGTGTGGTGATTTCACTGTTTAAAATGGCCCCTCAGTGAAGTGCTAAAATGTTGTCTAGTGTCTCCAAGTGTGAGAAAGCTGTGATGTGCCTTACAGAGAAAATGTATGTGTTAGATTAGCTTCCTTCAGGCATGAGTGATAGTGTTGTTGGCCTTGAGCTCAGTGTTAATGAATCAACAATATATATAAAATAAGGTGTTCTTTAAACAGAAACACAGAAAAAAAAGTTTACATACTGATCAGTTGATGAAAATGTTATCGTAACCAGAGGTTAGTGAGGCACTAACCCTGTATTTGCCCTGGGGCAATGACTCAGTATTCACTAATTAAGTGCTTTGCAGTGACTTAATAGACTATAACCACCACAAATAATAAGAATGGACTGTGGTATTTGTTTTCTTATTTATTACCCATCTCTTCCACTAGTCTATGAGCTTCAAAGCTACTTCCCGGCTACCTGCCATATTCCCAGTGCCCAGCAGCTCAATAAATACATGTTGAATGAACGGCAATGGAGCAGAAACCTTCGAGAGGAGACATTGACACCCAGTCTTTCTCTAGGGCTTTGTCACTGAGTCTCTGACTTAATTCCTCCTTCAAACATGAGGGAGGCCGAGAAGAGGACGGGTTGAGTGAGTAGGGGAAGTCACTGAACGAGGCTACTGGCAAATGTTACTAGCCACTGACTAGTCACTGACTAGCCACTGTCCATGACGGTAAGCACAGTTATCTGTAGGTTCATGGAGGCACCTGCCTTTTTTTTCCCCTTTACAGTCAGACTTCATTTCTGTGGGTTGCATATTCACAGACTGAACAAACATGAAAAATATTTGAGGCCGGGCTCAGTGGCTCAGCCTGTAATCCCAGCACTTTGGGAGGCCGAGGTGAGTGGATTGCCTGAGCCTGCGGGTTCAAGACCCACCTGGGCAACTTGGCAAGACCTCATCTCTACAATAAATCAAAAAAATTAAGCCGGGCTCAGTGGCTCAGCCTATAATCCCCTGCCCTTGGGAGGCTGAGGTGAGTGGATTGCCTGAGCCCGCAGGTTCGAGACCCGCCTGGGCAGCAAGACCTCATCTCTACAATAAATCAAAAAATCAGCTGGGTGTGATAGCGCATGCCTGTAATTCCAGCTACTTGGAAGGCTGAGGCGGAAGGATCGCCGGAGCCCAGCAGGTGGAAGCTGCGGTGGCCAGGAGCAGCCACTGTACTCCAGTCTGGGTGACAGAGTGAGAATCCAACTCAAAAAAAAAAAAATTAGCCGGGCGTGGTAGCGCACACCTGTAATTCCAGCTACTTAAAAGGCTGAGGTGGAGGGATCACCAGAGCCCCTCAGGTTGAGGCAGCGGTGGCCAGGAGCATGCCACTGAACTCATCTGGGCGACAGAGTGAGACTCCAACTCAAAAAAAAATATTTGAGACACTGTTGCTCTGGTCTGGCCATGTGGCCCTTAGAGGTATGGCTTCCAGGTTTTCCTAGCTTTGGTCCCCCTCCCCTACCTTTGGGAAGTGAATCTTTTCTCTCTTTCTCTTTCTCTCTCTCTCTCCTTCCTAAGTAAACTATTTTTCCATCTAGCTTCTGTGCAATTCTTTGCATCTTTCACACGGCACTGGATCACAACTCTCCTCCCCCTAGCAGGTCTCAACTAACATTTTAGAGGCCCTGCTGGGACTTTTTTTTTTGAGTCAGAATCTCACTCTGTCACCCAGGCTGGAGTGCAGTGGCATGCTCACAGCCACTGCAGCCTTGATCTGCTGGGCTCAGGCAACCCTACTGCCTTAGCCTTCCAAGTAGCTGGAACTATAGGCACACACCACTACACATTGCTGGGATTTTAAACTAACATTTTTGGAGGCCCCACCAAGATTTGCTGTACTCTCGCTGTCTCTCGCTCTTCTCTTTTCCAACATGAGTTTCTCTCTGTGGAGAAAGACAAGGTGCTTGGATCCTTTTCTCTACTACTTGCTCTTACTCTAAACACCTGCAACAAGCTACATGGAACAGACCCCTCCCTGTCACCTCAGCTTTGTCTGGAATGTAACTACAACATCACCAGTTCTCAATTCAGTTTTTCTCTAGGGTGGGATGAGAAACAAAAGCAGCTTCAGGAGCCACACCTTCCCCACACCCTCCTCCTGAACTGCCTGCAGACCAGGTAATATTTCCCTGTCAAGGCAGAAGGTCAATACCACCCCTCCTCCCATCAAAAGCAGAGATGTTGGCTGGGCACAGTGGCTCAGCCTGTAATCCCAGTACTTTGGGAGGCCAAGGCGAGAGGATTGCCTGAGCCCGGGGGATTCAAGACCTGCCCGGGCAGCTTGGTGAGACCTCATCTTTACAATAAATTATAAAAACTAGCCAGACGAGGTGGCGTGTGTCTGTAGTTCCAGCTTCTTGGAAGGCTGAGGTGAAAGGATCACCTAAGCCCAGCAGGTTGAGGTTCAGCCTGTATTCCCAGCACTTTGGGAGGCCAAGGCGAGAGGATTGCCTGAGCCTGGGGGTTCAAGACCAGCCTGGCCAACTTGGTGAGCACTCGTCTCTACAATAAATCACAAATACTAGCCAGGCGTGGTGGCGTGTGTCTGTTGTTCCAGCTTCTTGGAAGGCTGAGGTGGAAGGATCACCTAAGCCCAACATGTAGAGGCTGCGGTGGCCATGAGCGTGCCACTGTACTCCAGCCTGGGCGACAAGAGTGAGACTCTAACTCAAAAACAAACAAACAAAAAACAGAGAGATGTCAATTTCCCATCTCCAGAGTGGAGGTTACCTGGGATCCAACCTCTTTGGCATATCAATCATTGTGAAGAAACTTGACGACAAGCTGTGAGGACATTCACATATGAACTCAGGAATTCACTGGTACAATAGTGGGAACTGCCTGGACTCCTGTAGTAGGTGTCAAACCCACTGGTACAGGTAAGGACATCTCTACACCCCTATCCAGCAGGAAGCAGAAGACTGACCTTTGTCCCTATTCCCAATAATTGCCTCTGCCCATAAGACCCAAGTTAACCTAATCAGCCCTTCGTGACCTTCATGACACAGACAGACTCCATCAACATAGCAATAGTCAAGTGACTAACCCACCCATCTGCCTGCTGTCTATCACCTGATGTCAGTACCTGTGCTTACCTGCCCTTCATGATGAAGTGGAATAGACACCACCCAGTCACCTTAATGACCCGTTCCCCACCAAAGGGAAGGTTTAAAAGCATTCAACTTCAAGCAGCCATGGCTTTGTTAAACTCTGGTCCGGCCACGTGGCCCTTTGAGCTATGGCCACCAGGTTTTCCTAGTTTGGGCCCCCTCCCCTACCTTGGGGAGGTGAAACTCTTCTCTCCTCTCACCCCATTTACTTTCTAAATAAACTACACTTACTCCCTGCCAGTCCCTGAGCTCAATCTTGACATGTATTTTCTCATCATCACAATTATCCTGGGAAATGAGGACTATTAGTTCATTTTACAGATGAGGGAACCGAGGTTCAGAAAAGCAAAGCAGCTTGCCAAGAGTCTTATGCCCGGGTGGTGTCAGGCTGCGGTGTCCAGAGGCAAAGTTCTTCCCGGTAATCCATCCCCCACGCCAGCTGTGCCCATGTTCTCCACACCATCCCCCTACTGGCTCAGGATCAGCCTGTGCCCACTCACCATGCTGGGTGACAAAACTGATGCAGGCATCCACGATGATGGGGATGTCACCCCGGCTCATCTGCTGCTCCTGCAGCCCTGTGCCGCCCCCACCAGCTGCCCCCCCAATGGCTGTGTTCCATGCTGAGAAGTCCAGCCGGCCCTCTCCCTGCAGATACAGGGTCCTGAGACCCGAGAGGTGGGAGTTAGAGTAGCTCCAGACAGGGTCCTGGGACCAGAGACCCGACTTCCCAGAGCCACCAGCAGGGGGCAGCAACACCCAACCCAAAGACTCCTGGAATGGGGTAAGCAACTTTGAGGAAGTGGACAGTGGTCCCGCAGGCCAGGGTGGAGAACTGGGCTGGGCTTCAGAAAGGGGGGGCCCGAGCCAAAGACCGGGCAATATTTACCTTCCTGTCTCCACTAGGACCAAATGCTCCTTCTTGTCAGGGGTGTCAGCTGCAGAGACCACACCTGGGGAGAATTATCAGACACCATCAGTGACTACTATTGATTAAGTGCTGAGGGGATATAGGTGCCAGGCCAGGAGCCTTATGATGTTCCATTAACTCCTATGAGTTATGTACTATTATCTCCATTTTACACGTGATCCATGAAAGCTCAGAAGGGTTAAGTAACTTGCCTCAGATTACTTGCTATAAGATGGCAAAGTTTAGCTCAAATCCAGGTCTCTTGTTCCCAAAGTCCTAAAAACAGTCCTACACTGTTCCTCTTTCAGAATACAGGAAAGCAGTGAGGGTACCTAGTCCTCTCTCCCAGGACACACCCAGCAAGTGACTCCAAATAATAATCGCATTTATAACATACATTTACTGAGCACTCGTAAGATGCCTCCTGCCAGGCTCCATGATAAGCACTACCCTATTTGAACCTCATTACAACCCTCTGAGGAAGGTCTTATTATTTTGCCCATTTTAAATATGAGGAAAATAAGGCACAGAGAGGTTAAGTAACTTGTCCACAGGAATAGGAAGTGATGAAGATGGCGTCTAAATCTGGGCAGTTTCCCTTCAGAGCTTGTGCCTGAAGCCACTATGTTTCACTGCTCCCATAGGAACGCCCAAATAAAAAAGGTCTGCTCCCACCCACCTGTAGCCAGCCTTTATCCCCGTCTCCACCCCTGCTTACTGATCTCTTGTAGCCGCCGCAGATGCACCATGTCCTCGGGGGCTGGGGGGCCGGGGCCAAGGGCCGGACACAGGAAGAGGTGGTCACCACGAAGGAGGCCGAACCCTGACAGCCAGAGGCCAGGGGCCAGGGCTGTGTGGGAGGGGGATCGCAGCCACAGGCGGCCCAGCCGCAGAAGTCCAGGGCCCAGAAGCTGGTGACAGCTCAGCGGGGAGAACCACTGCGGAGGCAGGTGGGGGGACAGGAGAGACAAGGGGTGAGAGAAATGAGAGTGAGAGGGATAGGGGAAAGCAGAGAAAGACGTGACGAGAAATCAGGAAAAAGAGGAATGGAAAGGGGCGGAGAGAGGGCAGAGGAGAGACCCAGAGAAGAGACAGAGATGGATGGGGAAGACAGGAAAGAAACTAGGTTTAATTCAATCTGCTCCAGTCAATGGAGAGAAGACCTCCATGCGGTAGCCTTGTGCCTTTAACCGAGGTGTGGAGGTAAGAGAGAATACCCATTCTGTACTGCCAAAATGCTGTAACTGAAGAGTCGTGATGCCCTGGGAAATCCCACCACCCAAGAGCTGGGGAGAGGCTTCATGGAGGAAGGATTGTTTGAGGTCAACTGCAGAGCAGTGCCTCTCAAACCGCCCATGGTAAAGCACCAATGGATTTTTCCTTTTTTCTATTTTTAAAAGAGTTATAACCTGTCACTAACCAATCCTGTATTTTCATTTAAAACAATACAAATGAATTGCTAGAAAACTGAGATGAAAAAACAAAGACATACAAGCCCTTAATTTTTATAATTAGATTCAACACATAAAATTACTCTGTCAAATTGCTACAGAAGACTCTAAGTGCTTCCTCTCAAGTTATGCGCTTATCCTGTCACAGACCATAAAAACAGTCCATGGACCAATAGAGTGTGACAGTCTTCACAGCACCCTTTGGGCAGCACTGCCCTAAAGGATAGGCTCGATTTTTGGAAAGCATAGATGATAATAAGCAGAGACTTAGACCTGGTTGGGAGTTGCCACGACAGAACCCTGAAAGGGTATGGAGACAAGCTATTCGTGCGAGGAGTTATAGAAGGCCTGGGGGAGTAGAGTCAGAAGCCAGGAGCAGAGCATGTGCTGCGGAGGGGACATGATCTGGTGAGGTCAAAAGGTGGCCTCGAAGTTGGGAAACAGGAAGGCCTCGGTGACTTGCAGGGCAGCAGGTCAGGAGAGTGTGGAAGTTAAGGAGGAAGTGCAGACTGCACACAACTCTGAGACATTGTCAGGAAAGGAAGGAGGGCGCCAGGGTGAAAAGTTGAAGGTGGATCAGAGCGTAGGGAGACGCTTTCTTAGGAGGAGAGCCTGTTGTCGTCATCATCATCACTACCATTATTATTTCAACACCCACATACTGAGGGCTGGCTGTGTGTGGGCCTCACCCGAGGGGTTGAGTCTTTTACACCCACTCTACAAATATGGAAAAGCTCACAAGGCTGAGCACCGTGGGGTGTCTGACTCCAGGGACTGAACTTTTAGCTCTGAGAATGCAGACAGGATGGAGGGATCGGGTTGTCTGAGAATGGGAGAAGCCAGGACATACGGAGGTAGCTTGGCTTCTGGGCCTGCTAGAGAACTGGGGACCAGAGGGAGGGTAGCAGGAGTCAGGGGCAGTTTCTTTGTGAGAGAGGCCGTGGCACAGTGAGGTTTGGGCACAAGCTTTGCACACAGAGGCCTGATTTTCAGTTCTGGGGCTCTGTTGCCTTCTAGCTCTGTGAACTTGACGAAGTGACTTCGTAAGCTCTAAGACCTAGCTTCCTTATATGTAGAATATTAATCATCCCTACCTCTGACAGTTGTTATGAAAATTAAATGAGATATTGAGTGAGCAATGCTTCGCACAGGACTGGGCACAGAACAAGCACTTGGTCAACCTTCACTGCTGAGGAAATGGTAGAGACGGCTGTGGCAGTAAGAAAGGACAGGATGGAAGCAGGTGAGCTTTGTGCAGGGGTCTCGGCTATCTCACCTTGCCCACGGCGCTCGTCCAGGCCTCCAGACTGTCAGCTCCATCTGTGCCAAAATGCTGGACCCTCCCCCCCGTGAGGATGAGCTCAAAGGAAAAGGGGAACCTGGAGAAAAGACGAAGTCAGGGAGAAGAGAGGGAGCCAATGAGGGGACTATCCGCTGGGGACTGGGAAGAGCAAAGGGAAGCGCCGGGGGCACACAGGGTCTGTTACCTGTCAAGGTCACCAGGGTCAGTGGGTGGGGGGCTCACACCCAGACACACCACATCTTGGGGCTGTATGAGGCTGAGGGGTTCAGGGCTGCCTTCTGACGCAAACATTTCCAGAGCTGCTCCCAGCACACACCACAGGCGGGGAGGGGCTGAGGGGAACAAGATGTTGGGGGACAGCAGACCTCGACCACCACTGTAATAGTTCCCATTTACCAGACATTTATTCTATGCCAAATCCTCTGCCTACGTATGACCCTACATAATCTTCACAAGAGCCCCGTGAGGTCTTACATCCTATCTTGTTCTGCAGCTCAGGAAACTGAGGCTCACTCAGTTTGAGTAATTTGCCCAAGTCGCATAGGTAGGAAGCAGCAAGCGGCAGAGCTGGGATTTGACCCAGTCTGACTTCAGAGCAGATGCTCTTAATGACCACTCAGTGCTGTCGCCTGGTGTGGTCCCTCTCTCACCCCTGGACCCTGGGCCCTCCCTATGGCATGACCCCCCCACCCCACCCTTTCCCATCCCAGCCATCTCCTCCCTGTCCCTCTGTGGTACACTCATACCTGCCCACTTTCTGCACCTGTATCCTCCCATCCCTTTGCCCCCCCTCACCATCCCGGCCCCTGCGAGGGGGCGGGGGTCCAGCTTTGTGACTGATGGGCCCACAGTACAGGAAGCCGCTGTAAGTGGCAGGCACCACCACCTCATTGTACACACCAGGGGAGGGGTCTGCAAGGGGAAGGAGAAGCAGTCAGGTCAGGCCAGTGCAACGGGATGGTCTGACCCACTCTAGGGAAAGGGCTGAGTGGAGACAGCCAGTAGGACCCCAATCCACCCGCCCGGAGCTCCATGGAGTTGGATTACTCACAACCCAGATTGCAAAAGTGAGTGGCAGGGGGTGATGAGACAGGGAGGCCTCTAGCCCAGACCCTGTCCACTGCCTGTCCCCACCAGGCAGTTTGCTCTGGGCAGACACCTCAGAGTATAGGCCGTCCTGAAAGTGTCTCAGCTCCTCTGGCCTGACAATGGAACCAATGTTATTAAGCTGATCGCTTCTTTGAGAGATCAGACTGTCCTCCTGACCTATGGGTTGACCCTGCCAGAATGGGCCTGCACTAGCACCTGGAACAGTCAGACCCACCCTGACCATAACCCATGACCATCATTAGTTATCTCATGACGTTAGGAAATAGACCCTGGAGGATCTGAGGGGCTGGAAGCTGCCACAACCGGACCATCGTAATAGGGTAATCAGGGGCCCCTAGAAGAATCAAATCACAAGTTGGGACTGAGAATTCCCTAGGGGGAGAAAACAGAGGCACTTGTGGAATGACCTGGGGGCAGGAGGCCAGGGAAGCTGCCATCAAGGGCTGAAGGGGACCAGGGCTCCTGGCCTTCGAAGGCCTCAACACAGAGCAACTGGGTCATGTTCTTCAGCAGGTTGGGTCCTGCCACGGCTGCACAGAGTGCCTGCAGGGAGGGGAGGGTTCCTGTCAGCCCCAAAACCCATACTAAGACCCCTGGAGACAGCCCTCTGATCACCAAAACAGCCCCCAGTACCCAAGTTTAGGCATCCCAACTCAGAGACTACTTCCTGACCCCCTAGATCAGGCCAACCTGTCCCTCCTACCTGGAGAAGCTGGCTGTGATCTGGATACTGAGGGTGGGGCTTCCGGAAGAGACCCAGTCGGTACTTTCGAGAGATGAACTCTCCCCGGGGGCCGGGGGTCGAATCTGGATGCAGCCTCTCACCTGGAGGTAGGGCCCCCGCCCAGAAGCGGTTGGCACGACCATTTCCCAGGACAATGAACAACTGTAGGATGACAGGGGGCAAAGGCAGGCTCAAGAATCCCCAGACATTCCAATCCAGCTGAGTGTGGCCTATTGAGCTGGTGGGGGTGGGCCCAAGGACTGTTTTGGGATGCTCCCTCCCACCCTTCCCCCCTTCTCCCTCTTTGGACCCCTTACCTGCACGATCTCGTTACTCCAGACACTCGTGTCCAGCTTCAGGCTCTGTACCTTGGAGATCCCGGAACCCAGGGCCCGGTGCTGACCTGTCAGGATGTGAGGGGCATGTGGCATGGGCACCCTGAGCACCCCTGTCCCAGCCCCCTCCCGCTCCCCTTTTGGGCTTGAGACCCCAGCCCTCACCCGCACACTGCTTGCAGATGACCACCCCCAGGTTGACAGCGGCCCAGTCTGGGCGGGATGCCCCACAGTCCGCACAGTGCCGGTTTGCCCGATTGGACCAGATCTTCTCAGCCACCTCGTAGTCAGACAGGGTCTCGGTTACTGCTTCCTGCAGAGTGGCCGCCCAGCTCTGCCGAGACCCCCCAGACTCGGCTGTGAAGCTGAGGGGTGGACAGCCAGTCCGTGGGCATGGACCTCCCCGCCATGTCCCACCCCACTGGCCATTTCCGAAGGAGCCACCACAGGCCACACCTGGGGTAGCCCAGACCCTCCTGACATCTCAAACCTGCTCACTGGACTCCCTCAGTGCATATCCACTGACATCCCGCTGAGGAGGCCTCCAGTTCTCTGCATCCTTGTGCCTCCCCCAAAAGTCCCCCAGTCTTGCCTCCCACCAGTCCAAGACCCACCTGAAGCAACGATGGGGTGTGAGCAGGTCAAAGCTTCGACTCTTGGTCTCCCGGACACTGCAGCCTTGCAGTTCAATGAAGCAGATCCCAATGCCCAGAGAGAAGGCCTGGTGGGGTTGGGGTGGGCACTGTGAGGCACCACAAAGACCTAGGCCAGGCCCTTTAGCCCTGGCCTGGGCCTTCTCACCTGCTCACTCTTGTACAGCGCCAGTTCTCCTGGGTTCAAGGCAGCAAACACCTTGGCCTTGTGTCCACGCAGCTCTAGCATGCCCATGCGGATGGGTCGGGGTGGCTGGGGGAGCCGGGAGAGGCCCAGAAGGCGCTGCTCCGTCAGGCAGGATTGCAGCGTGGAGCACCACGTGTCCCGCTGAGCTGGTGGGGGTGGGAAGCAGGTCGGTGGTGGTGTCCTCCTCACACATTCTCCTTCCCTTCCGCCCTGACCCAGGGGCCCTGGCCCTCACCCTCGCTCTCGGTGCGGAACACGAACACCCTCTGGCCAGTGATGACCTGGAACTTGTTGTCCTTGCTACTGCGAGTCATCTCAATGGCGGTCAGAGGGATCACCCCCTTGGGGAAGGGGTCCTGCAGAAAGAGCCCAAGGACCCATGGGGACAGGAACTGAGCTATGGGCGCCAAGCCCTGGGTCCAGCACTAGCTATTTATTCATTTATTTATTCATTTATTTCAGATTCAGGGGTTACACATGCACATGTTCGTGTCATGGATGTATTGGGTAGTGGTGGGGACTGGGTCTCAGGTGGCCCATTTCCCAGATAGTGAACACTAGCAACAACTTTTACAAGATCAGCACCCAATCACAGCCAACTCCTTTTAGTGCTGGCATAAGTCATGGGGTGACCACCCCCCTACCTTGGGCTTCCCTCCTTCCCACCCTGAGCCTCTCCCAGCCCTCCCTCTCCCTCTCCCTCTCCTTAGTTTCCATGTCACATCTCCCCATCCCCCACCTTGTCACTGCCAAAGTACATCAGACTCCTCCCGTTGAACTGCACAAAGCGTCTCTGGAAGACATAGTTTCTAGGGATGCAAGAGACCAAGATCAGTGCTTGGGGTCGTATGGAGCTAGGGTGATCAGAGGAGCACTCGGCACCTGCCCCACTGCCACCACCTCCCAGCCTCCCTCCTCTCCCTTCCCCTCCCAGCAGCCCCACCCCTGAGGGGAGAGCTTGTCTAGCCAGCCGCTGAGCAGGGGCATGGGGCGGTCAGCTGTAGAGGAGAAGCTGGCATAGGGTGAAATGAGGTCATCACTGGTCTCCTCTGTGTCTAGGTTGGGCAGTGAGAGGGTGGAGTCTCCAGGTAGCTCAAGGCTGGCATAGCCAGCATCTTCCCGTGCCTCCAGATCCTGCCTGCTGAGCCAAGACAGGGAGGGACACACATGAGGGGTCCTGGAGAAAGTACCCTAGGTTCCCCCTTTGTAATTTCTCCAGCCCCACCCACAGCATCTAAGAGAATGTCTGGTAGGTACTGGATCTGTTTCTCAACTGGGAATAGGGAGGGTGGGGACCCAAACGATTAGCCTGGCGCTCCTTCCCTGAGCACACTTGGAATTTTTACTAGGAACATTTCAGTCCATCTCCTCTGCCATTAGCATTACTTGGGTGGAAAAGTTGGGGAAAGGCTGTGTAGACGGTTCCCTGCCATAGCTGCCCAGAGCTAATCAATACATCTTACTGATTCTTTCTCCAGCAAGTTCTTGACTTTCTCTCCCTGGACCAAGTTCCCAGTAGCTCTCACCAGAGCGATGTGAACTGCCTAACTGGCCACCCGCTTTCACTCTTCCCCTGCCTCCCGCAATCCATTCTTCCACAGCAAATGAGACTATTTCATTCTCCTGCACAAAGACTTTCAATAATGTCCCATGGACACTTAGGTTAAACCCACATTTCCTACCATGAGCTGGAAGAACTTGTACAGTGAGACCTTATTCTGTGTCACCTCTCCCTTCTCCCCACAGTCCAGTTGTACTCTCCTCTCTCTTTTAGTTCCCCCTGCCTAGAACATGTTTCCTTCTCTGCTTCCCTGGGCTGCCTTCTCTCACCCTTTAAGTTTTTGCTTATGTCATCTTCTCAGAGAGGTCTTCCTGAATAGATTCCTCTCTTACTCTCTCACTTTCCAGTGGCTTTCAGTCTCAACAGCACAAAAACACTTGGGAAACTTTAAAAAATACCAGTACATGAGCTTCACACTAGCACTTAAACGTGAATCTCTGGGTGTGGGGCCCAGGCACCTGTTAGTTTTAAAAGTCCCCCAGGCTCTGGGACAGCTAAGGTTGAGAACCACTATTCTACCCTATTTGTTTCCTATGTCACTGAGTTGAATTCATTAGATGAGAACCCCCACAGACTCCCAGTGCCATGTCTACCCAATTCCACGCACATGTTCTGCTTTCCTCCTGTTACTATAGTAAACACTCCTGTCTAAAGCCAGACCCTCCTCTGTGCACTTAATCCTGTTCTCATCACCTACACAAAGGTACTGCTCCAGACTGTCCCCCTTTTTCTCCCCTATATAGCTAATTGTCCCTCTCTACCAGACCATTTCTATTCACCTACAAACCTACATAGCATTCCATCCTTTGCTTGTCTTTACTTCCATTATCAACAATTATTTCAACTCTCTGCTTTTCTTTTTTCTTTTTTTGAGTTGGAGTCTCACTCTGTCACCCAGACTAGAGTGCCGTGGCACGCTTCCGGCCACCGTGGCCTCAACCTTCTGGGCTCCGGCGATCCTTCCGCCTCAGCCTTCCAAGTAGCCGGAACTACAGGCGCGCATTATCACATCCAGTTAATTTTTTATTTATTGTAGAGACGAGGTCTCTCCAAGTTGCCTGGGTGGGTCTCGAACCCGAGGGCTAAGGCAATCCACTTGCCTTGGCCTCCCAAAGTGCTGGGATTACAGGCTGAGCCACCGAGCCTGGCCCAACTCTCTGCTTTTCTTTTCAGAAAAACTCCTCAAAAACACAGTCAATACATTGCTAACTCCTCTCCATCCATTGTTTCTCAAAACCCATTTTGGTCAGGCCTTCCCCCCAAGACCACACTTGCCAAGGCCCTCAGTGACCTCAAGTGCCAATTCCAGGATCGATTCTCAGTCCTATCTTAGCCGCAGACCTCTTGGCAGCATATGACACAGTTGGCCTCTCCTTCCTTATCCCCTTTCCTCACTTGGCTCCTGTGACATCACATTCTCCTGGGTTTTTCTATGTCATCAGCCATTTCTTTTCCATCTGATTTGCTGATCCTTCCTCTTTTCCCAAACCTTGTGATGCAGGAGTGCTCTGGGGTGCTGAGCTCAGCCCTCTTCTCTACCTCTAATCCCCCACAGTTATGCACGCCCTCTAAATGTTGACAACTCCCAAATTAGGATCTCCAGCTCAGACCTCTCCCCAAACTCTGGACATGTCTATCCAATAATCTGTTTGTCACCTCTTACTGGATGTTTATCATACACCTCAAATTCAACACTTCCAGAACTGAACTCTTGGTCTACCCCCACATCCTACTTGGTTTATGGACAGTCTACCCCACCTCAGACCATAGCAACTCCATGAACGTTCAGTTACTTGAACAGTGCTGCCCAACTGAAGTCAATGCAAAACGCATAATACATTATTGATTTTTTTTTTTTTTTTGAGTCAGGGTTTGCTCTGTCACCCAGACTGGAGTGCAATAGAATAATCAGGGATCACCACAGCCTTAACCTCCTGAGCTCAAGGTGATCCTCCCACCACAGCCTCTCAAGTAGTTGGAACTACAAGTGCCTGACACTACACTCAGCTAATTTTTTTTTTTTTTTTGAGTTGGAGTCTCACTCCATCGCCCAGACTAGAGTACAGTGGCACGCTCCCAACCACTGCAGCCTCAACCCGCTGGGCTCCGGCCATCCTTCTGCTTCAGCCTTCCAAGTAGCTGGAACTACAGGCGCGTGCTACCACGCCTGGCTAATTTTTGATTTATTGTAGAGATGAGGTCTCGCCAAGTTGCCCAGACGGGTCTCAAACCCACAGGCTCAGGCAATCCACTCACCTCAGCCTCCCAAAGGCGTGGGATTACAGGCTGAGCCACCGAGCCCGGCCTCAGCTAATTTTAAAAAAGTTTTTAAATAAAGTCTAGGTCTCACTATGTTGCCCAGACTGGTCTGGAATTCCTGGGCTCAAGCAACCCTCTGTCCTTGACCTCTCAAAGTGCTAAGATTACAGGCATGAACCACTGCGTCTGACTGTTATTTGAAATTTTCTAGTAGCCACATTAAAAAAAAATGTAAAGGAAACAGGTGAACCCAATTTTAATAATATATTTTATTTATAATTCCAGCACTTTAGGAGGCCGAGGTGAGAGGATTGCCTGAGCCCATGGGTTTGAGAGCAGCCTGGGCAGCTTGGCAAGACCTCATCTCTACAATAAATCAAAAAATTAGCTGGGCATGTTGTCATGTGCCTGTAGTTCCAGCTACTTGGAAGGCTGAAGCAGAAGGATCACCTGAGCCCAGCAGGCAGAGGCTGCGGTGGCTGTGAGCATGTCACTGCACTCCATCCTGGGCGACAGAGTGAGACTCTAACTCAAAAAAAAAAAAAAAAAATATATATATATATATATAATTTAACCCAATATAGCCAAAGTTTTAACATTTCAGTATGCAATCAATGTAAAAATTACTAAGATAATTATATCTTTATGTCATATTCATCCAATATTGTGTTTTCCGTGCTAATGCTTCAAAATCTAGTAGGTGTTTCACATTTATAGCACATCTCAATTGAGATTAGCCACGTGTTACAGGCTCAGCAGTCACATGTGGCTAGTGGCTACTATACTGGACAGTAAGCCTCAGACCAAAGCCCTCAAAGTCACTTTTGACTGTTCTTTCTCTCACACCCCAAGATAATTAGACAGTTTGCCTTCAAAATATAGCCTCTTCTCATCATCCTTTCTACCATCACTGTGCTGCGGTCCTCACCTAGATTATTACAGTCACCTCCCAACTGGTCTCTCTGCTCCTGCTTCTGCCCCCTACAGACCATTCCCAACACAGCGACCGAGGGACCTTTTCATAAGTCAAAACCCCTCCTATGGCTTCCCATTTCATTTACAGTAAAAGCGAAAGCCCCTACAAGGTACTACCCCATCTGGCCTCTTGTATCTCTCCTCCCACAACTTCCACGTGGCCCCACCCAGGTCTCTCCTCACTGCTCCTGGAGCGGCCAGGGCGTGCCCCCTCCTGGAGACCTTTATTCCGACCACTCCCCCCTCCCTGGGACACTCTTCCCTCAGATATGCTCAAGTGATCCTCCTGCCTCAGCCTCACAAGTAGCTGAAAGTACAGACTCGTGCCACCACACCTGGCTAATTTTTTAATCTTTTGTAGAGACAAGGCCTTACTATGTTGCCTAGGATGGTCTTGAACTCCTGGAATCAAGCAATCCTCTTACCTCAGCCTCCCAAAGTGCTGGGATTACAGGCATGAGCCACCGTGCCCAGCCTCAAATATCATCTTTTTCTTTATTGAGTCAGATTCTCACTCTGTCACCCAGGCTGGAGTGCAGTGGCACACTCACGGCCACTGCAGCCTTGACCTGCCAGGTTCGGGTGATCCTTCCACCTCAGTCTTCCAAGTAGCTAAAATCACAGGCATGTGCCACCATGCCTGGCCAATTTTTTTATTTACTGCAGTGACGAGGTCTCGCTATGTTACTCAGGCTGGTCTCAAGCCCCTGAGCTCAGGCAATCCTCTCGCCTCCGCCTCCCAAAGTGTTAGGATTACAGGCATGAGCCATTGTGCCCGGCAAATGTCATCTTCTTAATGCTCCAATAACTCGATGAAAAATTACAGTCCCTCCATACTGACCCCCAGCCCTCTTATCCAGCTCGATTTTTTTCCATGGCACTTAACACCTTTTAACATGCTACAGTATGTAACTTATATGTTTACTGTTCACTGACTACCTCCCCACAAGGGCAGGGGTTTCTGTGACACTGATCTAACCAAGCAGCTACATCTGGAATGTAATAGCAGCTCAAAAAATATTTGCCGAATGAAAGAATGAAAAGCCTTCTCCCAAATTTTTATCCATTAGTTTGTCTACTTGTCTTATTTCCAACCTCCCCACTGAGCACATGCTACACGAGGGTGGCACTGGGTTTGGTAGATCCATCCTGTGTCTTGAGTGCCTGGCTGGCACACAGAGGACACTCGGTGCACATTTGATCAATGACTGGGTACACAGCCACCACCGGCCCAGCTGCTCCTCTGGCTTCCCCTCTCCTTCCCATCACTACCCTACTCAGGACTCACCTGCGTTCAGCCCTATCCTGACAGACACCTCTGCCCTCTCTTCTGTCTGGGGCCCCTGGAACCCCCACAGGCTGGACACCATAGTACAGGCAACCAGGATCCATGATGTGCACTGGCAAGAGGAGGAAGCGGAGGAAAAAGGAGACCAGGTGGGAGTGTCTAAGGTCCTCAGGCACTATCCCTCTTGCCCCAACCTGGGAGAACCCACCTACCTGTGCTTGTTGTGGGCCGGAGGGCAGGGGTGGGGGCAGCTGTCTGGGAGCTGGGGGGGGGCCTGAGGGGAAAGACCTATTGGTTACTAAGGGAGAAAGAAGGAAGGACAGGCCTGGTGCCCTGCCCCCTCAGCCCCCTTCCCCTTCTTTCCTCCCCCAGTATCAGATTCCTAAGGGGCCAACTCCACTCACATGTCCAGAGATGCCTGTGCCCCGCCTTTTACATCCAGATCGAAGTAGATGGCATTGGGCAACATCTCCACAGTGCTCAGGGCTGAAGGCTGCTCCGAGGAGGAGGTGGGGAGAGAAGGGGACCTGGGCCTGGACTCTGGGTCCCTGGACCCTTCCGGTCCCAAGAGGGTTGGGCTCAGGCCAGACCTCTGGGCAATGGCAGAGCCACTGAGCCCACCAAACACTGTCCTGGGCTTGGGCACGGGCTTGAGGGGCTGGGCTTCAGGGGCCGGGCTAGAGGATGGCTCCATGGCACTATCCGATTTGGGATCCAGGGAGCCCTCTGCAGTGCCTGTCTGCAGCAGGCGCAGGATGCGTTTCCGGTGCCCCGTGGCGCTGATGCCCAGCTGCCTCAGCTCCTCGTGGCCCAGGCCTCTGGCTGAACCCGCTGTAGCCAGGCCATGCCGCTGGAATGTGTCTGCATACTGCTCCAGGTGCACCGTGGCCAGCCACACAGCGATGTCCAGGTCCTGAGGGGCAGCCATGGGGGCTCAGGCCATTGCTGGGGGGAGGGGCAGGGTGAAGGGAGGGCTCAGGCTGAGATTCCCCCTCCCTGCCCCAAAGTCTGAGGCCTGGACAGGAGGTACCAGCCCCTAGTCTTTCTCCAAAGAAAAATGCCCAATGGCCTGTGATCCATCCCAGAACATCAGAAAGGGCTCTCTCATTACAGGAGAGTCCCTTCGTTTGCAGTTGAGGAAACTGAAGCCCAGGGAGGAAAAGGGGCTTGCCCCAGGCTCACAGCAAGTCTACACTAGTGTTGGTCCCCAAGCTCCTGCCTACCCTGGGTCGGTTGACTGCTTTACGGCACAGTCAACTAAGTAAGGGTGGAACCAGATGTCAGAACCCTGCAGGGCAAGGTGGGTGGGAAGGTGGGGAGGAGGGGGCCAATGAATTGGCCAGAACCAGCTGTGGCATAAGGTGGGGAGAGGGGCAGGCTAGGTAGGAGGAAGGAGGAGCAGAACCCGGGCCACTTGTTTCCACAGCTGAAGTACACAGGCCTGCCATCCTAATCCTGGCTGTTCCCAGTTTCTCCTCCCCTTCCACCTATTGTTTCGGCTCAGACTTCCTTCCTGTCCCTCCAGCTCCTGGCCGTCCCCACATCCTGCCTGCCTTGGTCAGCCTGCCCAGAGAGACCCAACCAGTCTTAACTGTGGGGTCCCAGCCCTGGGTAAAGGTCACATGGGGAACAGGGGTGGGGCAGAGAGCCGGGTAAGAGAGATGAGGGACCAGAGGCCAGGGGTACTCCAGGGTCTTCACCCTCCACCCCTCCCCCAGCACGTGCGCGCACAGACCCTGCAGGTTCTCAGCAATGTGAAATGACAGTCCCCTACTTTCTCAGCCCGTTTCTGAGCCTGCCTTCTCCCTGACCCATTCCCTTGGGCTCAGCTCTCTGTGCTCTGTCCCATTCTGGCAGCCTGATCCTGACCTTGATCTATTCCCTGGACTTAACTCTGATCATCTCCCCTGAGTTTAATCTCTGCCCTGTGCTTTCCCCTGCCCCGCTCCATCTCCCTCTCTAAATCCATCTTCGTCCCTCTCCTTACCGACCCCGCTTCATTCCGTCACTCAGCCTGCCCTTGCCTCGGCGGCCAGTTCTCACTAGGTCTTAAGTTGCATCTGAGCCTCTGGCCACCTCTGACCCCGCGTTTCTGTTCCTCCGCCTCTGCCTGCAAGGCTGTCTCCCTACTGCGCTCGTGCTGGGTCCCTGGTCAGGACCCCTGCGTCCGGCGTCAGTTCTGGTCTCCCTCTGCCTCTCTCCCGCTGGGCCCCATTCTCAAGCCAGGGCCGGGGTGCCGAGCCTCGGGGCTGACTCGGGGCC